CAGGTGACTGTATGATCCCGCTCTACATAGCCGATATGAGTAGGACCTTTAAACAGGTTAAGAAACAGACAGATTACCAGGATGCATACTCAGATCATGCTCTAACCAGCTGGCAAGTATCTTCACTGACATTTTCAACCTCTCCCTGACCCAGTCTGTAATACCTACATGCTTCAAGCAGACCACCATAGTCCCTGTGCCCAAGAACGCCAAGGTAACCTGTCGAAGTGACTTCCGCCCCGTAGCACTCACATCTGTAGGGCCTCCTGTAGCTCAGTTGGTAGAGCATGGCGCTTGCAACGCCAGGGTTGTGGGTTCGTTTCCCAAGGGGGGCCAGTATGAAAAATGTATGCACACACTAACTGTAAGTCGCTCTGGATAAGAGCGTCTGCTAAATGACTAAAATGTAAAATGTAAAAATGTAGCCATGAAATGCTTTGAAAGGCTGGTTATGGCTGACATCATCCCAGACACCCTGGACCCACTACAATTCGCATACCGGCCCAAACAGATCCACAGATGATGCAATCTCGATTGCACTCGACACTGCCCTTTCCCACCTGGACAAATAGAATACCTACGTGAGAATGTTGTTCATTGACTACAGCTCAGCGTTCAACACCATATTACTCTCAAAGCTCTTGACTAAGCTAACGACCCTGGGACTGATCACCTCCCTCTGCTACTGGATCTAGGACTTCCTGACCGGCCACGCTGACCCTCAACAAGGGGTCCCCTCAGGGGTGTGTGCTTAGTCCCCTCCTGTACTTCCGGTTCACCCACGATTGTGTGGCCAAGCACGACTCCAACACCATCATTAAGATCCTTGGTGTCCACATCACTAAGGACCTGTCATGGTCCAAACACACAAACACAGTCATGAAGAGGGCACGACAACACCTCTTCCCCCTCAGGAGGCTGAAAAGATTTGGCATGGGCACTCAAATCCTAAAAACGTTTTACACCATTGAGAGCATCTTGACTGTCTGCATCACTGCTTGGTATGTCAATTGCTCGGCATCTGACCACAAGGTGCTACAGAGGGTGTTGCGTATGGCCCAGTACATCACTGGGTTTGAGCTCCCTACCATCCAGGACCTCTTTACCAGGCGGTGTCAAAGGAAGGCCCTCAAAATTGTCAGACTCCAGCCACACAAGTCATAGTCTATTCTCTCTGCTACCGCACGGCAAGCGGTACCGGAACGCAAAGTCTGGGACCAAAAGGCTCCTGAACAGCTTCTACCACCAAGCCTTAAGACTGCTAAATAGTTAACCAAATACCTACCTGGACTATCTGCATTGACCCTTTTTTGACTCATCACATACTGTATGCTGCTTCTACTGTTTATTATCTGTCACTTTATTCCTAGTTATATCTACATATCTACCTCAACTATCTCGTTCCTCTGCACATCGACTCAGTACTGGTACCCCATACAAGTTATCATTACTCATTGTGTATTTATTATTACTTTTACTATTACGTGTTTTACTCATTGTGTATTTATTATTACTTTTACTATTACGTGTTTTACTCATTGTGTATTTATTAGTACTTTTACTATTACGTGTTTTACTCATTGTGTATTTACTATTACGTGTTTTACTCATTGTGTATTTACTATTACGTGTTTTACTCATTGTGTATTTACTACTTCTGCGATCACTTTTCTATTATCTCTATAATCTTTCTCTCTGCATTGTTGTGAAGGGCCCGTAAGTAAGCATTTCACTGATAGTCAACACCTGTTGTTTATGAAGCATGTGACGAATTTAACGGTAGCTAGCAAACTTCCGTACATCGCAGTGTTCCGTACACTTGACCGTATTTTAGCACCCCAAAAATGTAATACTTCCAGGTCAACTGAAATATGAATACCATTGTAAAGCACAATTTCTCCCCTTTCCAGCAAAATCAATGACGAGACCTTCATGCTGCCCGTCTGCAGGATTGAAGAAGGCAATGGAGCTCCGCCGGGTCTTTTTAAAAATGGCGGAGGGTGAAGCGAAGGCTACTGAGTGATAGTGAAAGGGGGAGATATGTTGTGTGGGGAAACAGCATTTTTCTTCACAACTAAACTGCGGCTGTCACTGTGTTTTGAGAGTCATGATGGCTCACAGTGATGACGCAAAAAATTAACTATTGATGAACTCACAAGTAATTAACTTTACACTCAAATCAATTCAAGGGGCTTTATTGGCATGGGAAACATGTTTACATTGCCAAAGCAAGTGAAATAGGTAATAAACAAAAGTGAAATAAACAATAACAAATTAAAATTACACTCATTCACAAAAGTTCCAAAAGAATAAATACATTTAAAATGTCATTATGTCTATATAGAGTGTTGTAACGATGTGCAAATAGTTAAAGTACAAAAGGGAAAATAAATAAACATAAATATGGGTTGTATTTACAATGGTGTTTGTTCTTCACTGGTTGCCCTTTTCTTGTGGCAACAGGTCACAAATATTGCTGCTGTGATGGCACACTGTGGTATTTCACCCAATAGATATGGGAGTTTAACAAATGTGGGTTTGTTTTCAAATTCTTTGTGGGTCTGTGTAATCTGAGGGAAATATGTGTCTCTAATATGGTCATACAGGTTGGGAAGTGTAGCTCAGTTTCCACCTCATTTTGTGGGCAGTGTGCACATAGCCTGTCTTCTCTTGAGAGCCAGGTCTGCCTACGGCGGCCTTTTTCAATAGCAAGGCTATGCTCACTGAGTCTGTACATAGTCAGAGCTTTCCTTAAGTTTGGGTCAGTCACAGTGGTCAGGTATTCTGCCACTGTACTCTCTGTTTAGGGCCAAATAGCGTTCTAGTTTGCTCTGTTTTTTTGTTAGTTCTTTCCAATGTTTCAAGTAATTATCTTTTTGTTTTCTCATGATTTGGTTGGGTCTAATTGTGTTGCAGTCCTGGGGCTCTGTGGGGTCTGTTTGTGTATGTGAACAGAGCCCCAGGACCAGCTTCCTTAGGGGACTCTTCTCCAGGTTCATTTCTCTGTAGGTGATGGCTTTGTTATGGAAGGATTGGGAATCGCTTCCTTTTAGGTGGTTGTAGAATTTAACGGCTCTTTTCTGGATTTTGATAATTAGTGGGTATCGGCCTAATTCTGCTTTGCATGCATTATTTTGTGTTTTACGTTGTACACAGAGGATATTTTTGCTGAATTCTGCATGCAGGCTCAATTTGGTGTTTTTCCCATTTTGTGAATTCTTGGTTGGTGAGTGGACCCCAGACCTCACAACCATAAAGGGCAATGGGTTCTATAACGTATTCAAGTATTTTTAGCCAGATCATAATTGGTATGTCGAATTTTATGTTCCTTTTGATGGCATAGAAGGCCCTTCTTGCCTTGTCTCTCAGATCGTTCACAGCTTTGTGGAAGTTACCTGTGGCGCTGATGTTTAGGCCGAGGTATGTATAGTTTTTTGTGTGCTCTAGGGCAACGGTGTCTAGATGGAATTTGTGGAAGAATGGAAAATAACTGTGCATAACATCTAGACCCAGAAACAGAATGAAGAACAGAGCATCAAACAGAATAGAAACAATCAAGACGTTGGTCATTCTCACTCTCATTGGTCAAACAATGCATGTTGATGACACAAAAAACGGAACTTGATTAAGCTCTTGCCCAGTGTGTGTGTTCGTGTGTGTGGACCTAGCAAAGTCTAGCAGAACACAGAGAAATAGATAATAGCCTACTTCTACGATTACTGTCTGATTATAGACAAAGAGGCCAGCAGATCACAATGTAATGGAGGTGCTGTTTGGGTGTAGTTCAAGGACAGCCTCCCCTCAGCCCTGAATTCCCTCTACTGCCTCAGTCAGTTGCAGCAGCACAACGGTAGTCAAGGTGTGCTACTGGTATTGGTACTGATAATGGCAGGCTCCCCTTAGTCAGGTCCCTTATTAATCTCCCATCTATCTGGTACTGGCATTGGCAGACTTACTTCAGCCAGCTTTAGACATATTTGTATTGTGAATAAAGTGTAATTTTAAGGGTATCGCCCATGTAAATGTGTTGTGGTAGCAGACATCATTAGCTAGGCCATGCCGTACTATCATTAGCTAGACCATGCTGTACTGTCATTAGCTAGACCATGCTGTACTGTCATTAGCTAGGCCATGCTGTACTGTCATTAGCTAGGCCATGCCATACTATCATTAGCTAGGCCATGCCGTACTATCATTAGCTAGGCCATGCTGTACTATCATTAGCTAGGCCATGCCGTACTATCATTAGCTAGGCCATGCCGTACTATCATTAGCTAGGCCACGCCGTACTGTCATTAGCTAGGCCATGCTGTACTATCATTAGCTAGGCCACGTCGTACAGTCATTAGCTAGGCCACACCGTACTGTCATTAGCTAGGCCACGCCGTACTGTCATTAGCTAGGCCACACCGTACTGTCATTAGCTAGGCCACACCGTACTGTCATTAGCTAGGCCATGCTGTACTGTCATTAGCTAGGCCACGCCGTACTATCATTAGCTAGGCCACACCGTACTGTCATTAGCTAGGCCATGTCGTACAGTCATTAGCTAGCCCACGCCGTACTATCATTAGCTAGGCCACGCCGTACTATCATTAGCTAGGCCACTGCTAGAGCAACTTAATGGAACTCATTATGTCATAGCTGATGTATATTTAAAGTGTTCCAAATGTCCCATTCATGTCTTGAGAACTCCACTCTTACTGTGCTGCCACTCCCAGGAATATAATGTTTTTACACGTGTGTGTGTGTGTGTGTGTGTGTGTGTGTGTGTGTGTGTGTGTGTGTGTGTGTGTGTGTGCGTGCACGTGACATTGTGAGAGCCACGGTTGGCTTCATCTCACTGACCCAAAAATAGTTTGAGCTCCGTTTGTGTTTCCTGTATAACTTCAACCACGAACGACAGACAGCCGGCCACTTCCCTGCCCCAGGCCCTGTACAGGAGACAGTGGATAAACACTCACTCTTAATATGACTAGGAACTACTCTACATATAACAGATGTCACATTCTCAAACAGTAAAAAGAATACTGTTTAAATGCTCCTGAAGTTTAAAAGCAACGTTTTCCACCACTAAGGTCTGCATCATGTTTAACAGTCTTATCCTCCTCCCTCCATCTTTCTTCTCCTCCAGGGTGTATTAGATAAACCGTCTTAAACCCTCATCCCTCTCCTCTCCTCCAGGGTATCTTCTCAGTGACCAACCTCCATGCTGATATTTTCCTGGTGGCCAAAGTGGAGAATGTCCTACAGAACAGTATTACACACTGTGCTGAGCCCTACATTAAGACCTCAGACATCAACAAGGTGTGTGTGTGTGTGTGTGTGTGTGTGTGTGTGCATCAACAAGGTCCTTGCCTTCGCCCCCCTGTTTTTTCTTTATCTTCTATAAAAAGTGTTAAAAGATTTAGTAGGGCCTGTGTATTTTGTTATGGAGTCGAGAGCTACTTTAAAAGTGAGTTTTTAAATTGAATTGCCTGTGTTATTACCTATGCATCGGAGTCATTCTACATGTGTCTGTTTTCCCCTCCAGACAGCCCAGAAGGTTCTGAAGGCTGCCAAGCAGACGTGTCAGCGCCTGGGCCAGTATAGGATGCCCTTCGCCTGGGCTGCCAAGTAAGACACAGCTTTTATACACCTATAACTCACACACACTACAAACTCACCTGGGGTCTCATACAGCAGATTAATAGAATGTACACACTACACTCTCAATGTGCTCTCCTACACTACATGAAATGTATCCAATATAATAAGAAGTGAAACAAGCCACTCACTATTTGGAAAGTCATTTTTACTTTTCAGAGACAGTGTGATGATGATTTATTTGTAAATCTTAGGTGTTGATCTTAGGTGTTCCTGTACGGTGCACATCATCTTCACACATGAGTAAATATGAGTGTGTTCTACACAGTGGAGGCTGCTGAGGGGAGGACGGCTCATAATAATGGCTGGAACGGAGCTAATGGCATGGCATCAAACCACGTGTTTGATGTATTTGATACCATTCCACTCTGTTCCGCTTCAGCCATTACCACGAGCCCGTCCTCCCCAATTAAGGTGCCACCAACCTCCTGTGGTTCTACACAGTAAACATGATCCTGTCTGTCTCTGTTGTTCTCCAGGCAGGTGTTTAAAGATGCCCAGGGCAGTCTGGGTATGGACGGGAAGTTCTCTCCTCTCTATCGCCAGGACAACAGCAAGATCTCCACCGATGACCTCATCAATGCTGGCTGACATCAGGAAGTGAGTCATCAATAAGACGTGATGGTTGTGACTGTAGACTATATGTGGTTTGGCGTGCTGGCTGTGCTATATGGCAGTCGGTATCCTAGTGTCTGTTTGCACTGCAGGCGTACTCTTGTTTTGTAGTGTTATGACTGTTTTATGCACGTTCCCCCTTTAGGCCAGAGAAGAGCAAGGTACAGACTATCCCTGGACAACTAAATGTCACCATCGAGTGTATGCCTCCAGACTTCTCAAGTGGGTAGTTTTATTCAGATATGGACACCATCCATATTCAAGCATTTGCCTTAGTGTTGTTTTAGCCTGCCATTTACATTAGATTGAATGATGAGTGTTAGTGGTTAAATTAATTAGTTGATCATGGTTGATGATGTCGAGTTATATTGAGTAGTTGCACTAACGAACACTTTACTCTTGCCCCTCTTATGTATGCATTTCTAAAGAGAGGGAAAGAGAGATGGTTTTAGTCATCAGTGTGGAAATAGCAACAACAAACTGACTTGCAAGCATTGAGTGCAGTGGGTTATTGGGTTTACAGCTCACATTATCACTAATTGGCATCCTTCCTGGATGAGTTATTGTATTGACTGAAGTGTCTTTTATCCTTCCAGGCAAGAAGCGTAGCGGTGTGTGTGTGCATTTCAGAGACTCGGACGAAGAAGGCGTGGCCCCTCTAAAGGTGAGTGTTTTGGAGAGTGTGAGGTTGTGAAAATAACTGGGAATCCCTAGGAAAGAAGTCAAACTGTTGACAAACGCAAACTCAAACTACAGTGGAGTGGCAGAGTGGCCGCCAAAAAAATAGAGGAGAGATAAAAACTCTTGCATAAGCCAGTTATTACAGCTGGCAAGGAGAGATAATGAGAGCTGCCTCTCTTGCTTTCTCTCTCTCTCTCTCTCTCTCGTTCTCTCTCTCGCTATGTCTCTCTTCCTCTCATTGAGAAACATACACACGTTGAATATTTGTGGGTGGAAACCTCCATCAAACAGCTAAATAATTGTTTTTTTCCACTCACACTCACTGTTCAATGCACTCAAACAGGCTCCTACAGACACAGTGAGAGAGATTATTTATCACACAGGCTGACTAGGAACAAAGTCTTTTCTCAGGCAGAATAAAGTGTTTACAAACAGCAGGGTCGGGGCCAGCACCACAACACACCTCTCCAGGGAGATGGAATCAGCACACAGTGGAAACCAGCTAGAAACCACAGTTCCTAGTTAGAATTTACAGTACCTTACTGTAGACCGAAGTTCTGCCTGTTTTAGTTGAGAAGAGAGAGGGAGTCAAGTCCCTGGGTAAGACTAGGAGCAGTGTGTGTGTCTGTGTGTGTTTGTTTGAGGGTGTGCGTATGTTTGTGTGTTTTTCTGGGTGGATGCGTGTATCTACCATCTACCTCCATTACCTTACCTGTCCATCTCTCTCTGTAACAGTGGGCTACTCCTGGGTCACTCTGTTGAAGGACGGCAGGATGCAGTCTATAGAGATACAACTGCCTGTGTCTACCACCCTGCCCCCTGGATACCTGTATGACAAGACCCAGGACACAAAGAAGGTACAACCCTCTGTACACTGGAGAGAACCTGGGGTCAGGGAAGTGCTTTCCCCTGCTTGTGTGCTAGTGACAAATGACTGAGATGACACTGATTAAAAGATTTGGAGAAAGAGTCTTTGACAAACTGGTACGGGGACCTCGGTTCGGTCCGCACTGTGAGCCCAAATGAAAACATAATAAAATATATTTACAAAATAAAAACACTAGGCCTATAGGCTATGCCTACGATGCGTTGTAGGCTTATGCCTCTTCAGTAAATCTGAGCTGAAAAAACATTTCAGGCTATTAATTAATCTGTAATCTTAATTGATGCATTTCAAACTGTCCTTTTGTGAAGCGCAGCCGGGAACTAGTTCTGTACGATGGTGAGTTGTGGGGTCGATAAACCAGAATTGGAGGATCCTCCATCGTTGTTTAAATCTCAAATTTTGAAACATTTTGGCTTCCCAGTAGATTACTACGGAAATAGACAGAGAGTTGTGGATAAAACGTTAACGTGCTCAACGAGAATAGCCTATGCAGCTGCCAACACCTCTAATACAGTTGAAGTCGGAAGTTTACATACACTTAGGTTGGAGTCATTAAAACTCGTTTTTCAACCACTCCACAAATGTCTTGTTAACAAACTATAGTTTTGGCAAGTCGGTTAGGACATGACACAAGTAATTTTTCCAACAATTGTTTACAGACAGATTATTTCACTGTATCACAATTCCAGTGGGTCAGAAGTTTACATATAGCAAGTTGACTGTGCCTTTAAACAGCTTGGAAAATTCCAGGAAATGATGTAATGGCTTTAGAAGCTTCTGATAGGCTAAATGACATCATTTGAGTCAATTGGAGGTGTACCTATGGATGTATTCCAAGGCCTACCTTCAAACTCAGTTCCTCTTTGCTTGACATCATGGAAAAATCAAAAGAAATCAGCCAAGACCTCAGAAAAACAATTGTAGACCTCCACCTATCTGGTACATCCTTGGGAGCAATTTCCAAACGCCTGAATGTACCACGTTCATCTGTACAAACAATAGTACGCAAGTATAAACACCATGGGACCACGCAGCCGTCATACCGCTCAGGAAGGAGACGTGTTCTGTCTCCTAGAGATTAACGTACTTTGGTGCGAAAAGTGCAAATCAATCCCAGAACAACAGCAAATGACCTTGTGAAGATGCTGGAGGAAACAGGTACAAAAGTATATATATCCACAGTAAAACGAGTCCTATATTGACATAACCTGAAAGGCCGCTCAGGAATGAAGAAGCCACTGCTCCAAAACCGCCATAAAAAAAAGACAGACTACGGTTTGCAACTGCAACATCTCAAGACATCAGTCAGGAAGTTAAAGCTTGGTCGCAAATAGCTCTTCCAAATGGACAATGACCCCAAGCATACTTCCAAAGTTGTGGCAAAATGGCTTAAGGACAACAAAGTCAAGGTATTGGAGTGGCCATCACAAAGCCCTGACCTCAATCCTATAGAACATTTGTTAGCTGAACTGAAAAGCATGTGCGAGTAAGGAGGCCTACAAACCTGACTCATTAACACCAGCTCTGTCAGGAGGAATGGGCCAAAATTCACCCAACTTTTTGTGGGAAGCTTGTGGAAGGCTACCCAAAAACGTTTGACCCAAGTTAAACAATTTAATGGCAATGCTACCAAATACTAATTGAGTGTATGTAAACTTCTGACCCACTGGGAATGTGATGAAAGAAATAAAAGCTGAAATAAATCATTCTCTGTACTATTATTCTGACATTTCACATTCTTTGTCACGTTCGTTGATGAACGGGTCAGACCAAGGCGCAGCGTGATATGCATACATGTTTATTATACCGAATAAACACAACGACGACTAAACAACAAACTAAACGAAACGTGAAGTCCAAGGTACACAAACAACATACCTCACACGGAACAAGATCCCACAACCCACTAGTGCCAATAGGCTGCCTAAGTATGGTCCCCAATCAGAGACAACGAGTGACAGCTGCCTCTGATTGGGAACCACACCAGCCAACATAGATCTAGACATACTAGATCTAAACATAGAAAATACAACATAGAAAATACCAACAAGGAATATACACACCCTGACTCAACATATAAGCATCCTCTGAGTCAGGGCGTGACAGTACCCCCCCCCCCCAAAGGTGCGGACTCCGACCGCACAACATACACATAACAGGGTAGGGGCCGGGTGGGCATTCCGCCTCGGAGGCGGATCCGGCTCAGGGCATGACGATCTCTCACTCGTCGCCTCCCTGTTGCGCCCCTGGTCTGGTCTAGACCTCATCGCGTTGCTTCCCCTCTCCTTCCTCCCACTATACTCCAAGCCCTGTCTGGACCCTGGTGTGGGAGACCCCAAACCTGGAGAGGGGCTGACGTCTGGGTCTGGACTGGAGCCGCTGACCGGAGCTGGACCGGGCACCGCTGGAGCGGACTGCTCAGGCTCCGGACTGGAGCCGCTGACTGGAGCTGGACTGGGCACCGGTGGAGTGGACCTCTCTGGCTCCGGAGTGGAGCCGCTGACCGGATCTGGAATCGACCCCGGTGGAGCGGACTGCTCTGGCTCCGGAGTGGAGCCGCTGACCGGAGCTGGATCAGGCACCGGTGGAGCGGACTGCTCTGGCTCCGGAGTGGAGCCGCTGACCGGATCTGGACTGGACCCCGGTGGAGCGGACTGCTCTGGCTCCGGAGTAGAGCAGCTGACCGGTGCCGAACCAGGCACCGGTGGAACAGGCACGGGCCGTGCCGGACTGGACACACGCACCACTGGCTTGGTGCGAGGGACAGGAACAGGCCGGACCGGGCTGGCGACACGCACCACTGGCTTGGTGCGAGGGACAGGAACAGGCCGGGCCGGGCTGGCGACGCGCACCACTGGCTTGGTGCGAGGGGCAGGAACAGGCCGGACTGGGCTGGCAACGCGCACCACTGGCTTGGTGCGAGGGGCAGGAACAGGCCGGACCGGGCTGGCGACGCGCACCACTGGCTTGGTGCGAGGGGCAGGAACAGGCCGGGCCGGGCTGGCGACGCGCACCACTGGCCTGGTGCGGGGAGCAGGAACAGGCCGGGCCGGGCTGGCGACGCGCACCACTGGCTTGGTGCGAGGGACAGGAACAGGCCGGGCCGGGCTGGCGACGTGCACCACTGGCTTGGTGCGAGGAGCAGGAACGGGTCGGGCCGTACTGGGAACACGCACCACTGGCTTAGTGCGGGGAGCGGAACTGGGTTCCTTTATTAACCCCCACCACTGGCTTGGTGCGAGGGACAGGAACAGGCCGGGCCGGGCTGGCGACGCGCACCACTGGCTTGGTGCGAGGGGCAGGAACAGGCGGACTGGGCTGGCAACGCGCACCACTGGCTTGGTGCGAGGGGCAGGAAACAGGCCGGACCGGGCTGGCGACGGGCACCACTGGCTTGGTGCGAGGGGCAGGAACAGGCCGGGCCGGGCTGGCGACGCGCACCACTGGCCTGGTGCGGGGAGCAGGAACAGGCCGGGCCGGGCTGGCGACGCGCACCACTGGCTTGGTGCGAGGGACAGGAACAGGCCGGGCCGGGCTGGCGACGTGCACCACTGGCTTGGTGCGAGGAGCAGGAACGGGTCGGGCCGTACTGGGAACACGCACCACTGGCTTAGTGCGGGGAGCAGGAACGGGCCGGACCGGACTGGCGACACGCACCACTTCCTTGGTGCGAGGAGCGGAACTGGGTTCCTTTATTAACCCCCGCTCCTTCTGCTGCCAAACCAGCTCCTCTCGCCGTGCCTCTACACTTTCCTTCTCCCTTTTAGCCTCCTGTAGTCTCGTCATCCACCCCGTGTGCCCCCCAAAATTGTTTTATTGGGGTTGCCTCTCGGGTCTCCGTCGTCGGCACGGTTGGCGCCGTTTCACCTCTCCTGCCTGGGCATCTACCTTCGCCCATGGCCCTTTCCCCGCAAATATCTCCTCCCATGACCACCATTTGCCCACCTGTGACATGGCTATTCGCTCTTCCTGGGCACGCTGCTTGGTCCTCGTTCGGTGGGATCTTCTGTCACGTTCGTTGATGAACGGGTCAGACCAAGGCGCAGCGTGAAATGCATACATGTTTATTATACCGAATAAACACAACAACAAAACAACAAACTAAACGAAACATGAAGTCCAAGGTACACAAACAACATACCTCACACGGAACAAGATCCCACAACCCACTAGTGCCAATAGGCTGCCTAAGTATGGGTCCCCAATCAGAGACAACGAGCGACAGCTGCCTCTGATTGGGAACCACACCGGCCAACATAGATCTAGACATACTAGATCTAAACATAGAAAATACAACATAGAAAATACCAACAAGGAATATACACACCCTGACTCAACATATAAGCGTCCTCTGAGTCAGGGCGTGACATTCTTAAAATAAAGTGGTGGTCCTAACTGACCTAAGACAGGGAATTTTTACTAGGATTACATGTCAGGAATTGTGAAAAACTGAGTTTAAATGTATTTGGCTAAGGTGTATGTAAACTTCCGACTTCAACTGTATGCTGACACATTTACGCCGAGATCACCCCAGTATAACAGAGCAAAACGGAATTGCAAAGAAACAACAACACAACATCATCTCCCCTCTGCATTCAGGCAGCCCTTGGCAGCTGATTCTGACCAGCCCAAATAAAGTACAAGAGCGATAGGTAGGCTATTTTGTTTATGTTTTTTACAGTCTTTGGTTTATAGCCGCAGATATGCGCCCATTCTCGGTGGTTGAGAATATGGGGTTTCAGCACTTCGTGAAAGTGCTGGAGACACGTTAAGAACCTCCCTCTTTCACCCATTACAGGAACCAGGTAGTACCCACTCGATATAAGCAAACCAATGCCAACGTTTTCAATGAATTGGCCAATGCACCATTGGGTGCTTACTTAAAGACCCAGTGCAGTGAAAAACGTGATTTTCCTGTGTTTTATATATATTTCCACACTATGCAGTTGGAATAATACTAAGAAATTGTGAAATGCCCATTTAGTGTAAGAGCTGTTTGAAAAGACTGCCTGACATTTTTTAGTTTTGGCCTGCCTGGTGACATCACCAGGCGGTACATTAGTTAATAGACCAATACGAAAGTGAGTTCCAAACCTCTCTGCCAATAACAGCTAGTTTTCAATTTTTCCCACTCAGGATACATTTTCTGCTTGAGAAATTGCTCTTTGCTAAGAAGCTATTTTTTTTTTTTTTTTTATTTATTATTGAAAACAATCACAGTAAGGTACTTAATTGTTACCCAGAAATGATTTGATATTGAGATAAAAACGGCTGCATTGGACCTTTAACAGTGACAGCCCATCACATCACCCCTTGAGTGGGAGATGAGTACCGAGCTATAGACATGCCCCCTTTATGAGAGTCACAAGTGTGCATCTGGCACTGAAGGAGGCCAGATGTGGGAAGTAGGAATTTACCACATACGACTGGGAAAAATCCACTTGAACGGCTCTCAAATGGGTAAGTGGGAAACGTGTCTATTGCCGCGTTCAAAACAACTGGGAACTCGGAAATCTCCAACTTCCGACTTTAGTGCATTCAAGACAACTGGGAACTCTGGAAAAAACAAGCTCTGACTGGGAAAAATCTTTTTGAACGGTCATCCAACTCGGAAGTCCATCTTTCTAGAGCACCGCACCCACTTTCCCACATGGTGACCTCTGACCTCACCTACTAAGGAAATGGCCTCTATAACAGCATTTTCGGCAGTTAAATGCAACAACGAAACATGATTCATAAAGAGCAATCTATTAATGTGGTTTTTGAACTCTATATTTGTTTACAAGCATGATAGCTGTACTTTTAGTTTATGGTTGACACAGCTTGTTGGCCATTAGCCAATCTGCGTTTCTCAACAAGTTGAAATTACATGAATGCATCCAACTGGTATTTACGACTTCACAACTACTAAATTCCCACCTCCCACATGATTACAAACGCAGCATCAGAATGGAAACTTGAGAGGCCCAACATAACAATCCGGTCACAACAGACAATGCCAGGAACATTGTGAATGGCATTTATTTTTTTCCGCTGTACCGAAACAAAACAAAACCGTGACCACAAAACCACAATATGTACCGAACCGTGGGTTTGGTGAACCGTTACACCCCTACAAACTATGAGTTATTGAAAAATGCAGAATACTAAAAAAATTATCCTTACAGTCAGCGCCAGATATAAAATGGGTAGAAAACGGCAAGCCACTGTTCAAAGTGAAGACCAATGTAGCTTCAACAATATACCCACAAGTATGTCTTCTACCTTCCAACATTAAAACAACTTGTTAAAGCTGTTGTAACAAACACCATAAGACATCTGTGTTCTGTATTTCCCTGTCTAGGATCTGCACCTCCACAGCTTCTTCCAGCACTACCAGCTGATGAGGTCCTCCTCAGAGGGCAACCCAGCAGAACTCATCAAGTCTCTAAAGGTGAGAGACACTTCTGTTGTGAAGTCTCATATACGCTGTCACTTTGTATTGCCGTCTGACTTTTTCAACCCTCTCTCATTTGGGATCATGTTCAACATACCATGAAAAGTTATATTGTAAAGGTTGTGTATTAATGCCTACCTCTGTGTTGTGTCCCCAGTATGTGTTTGTGACCAACAACCAAGTGTCTGGGAACTCTGGGACCACTCATGAGGTTCTGGCCACCGCCATCACAGCCATCCTCAAACAGACAGCCGATTTCAACTCCAGCAACAAGCTGCTGAAGGTGTGTGAGTGTGTCTGTGTGTGTTTATTTGGATCCCCATTAGCTTTTGCAGAAACAGCAGCGTGGGCACACTTTTACTTGTCACGTTCAAGCTAAAAATGTAAATTCCCATACTGACCAGTAGGTGTCACTACAGCACATACAACTGAACCAGCCACTAGTTCCTTGAAAGGGAAAGTGGATTCCCTAAATGTTGTGTCACCACTAAGCATGTTTTGACCACCCACAAATGTTTTCGAAACAATTACTTTTGTGCAGTTTTCTATTATCAGTATACCCAGGATTCTTGCACACGAAGCCCATATTATAGAGCCCATATTATAGAGCCCATTGGTGTTTTTGACTTTCGTCAGACTATTGATATGATCTCTCTTAGTAAGTGCGCGTACCAAATGGCACCGTATTCCCTTTATAGTGCACTACTTTTGACCAGGGCTCTGGCCAAAAGTAGTACACTATATAAGTAACAGGGTGGCAATTGGGACGCTTTCTAAATGTTTCACAATTGCGCAGTAGGTCCAATGTCTTCTGTTCCTCTTCCTCTTTTCTAGTATTCCTGGTTCTTCTTTGAGACGATGGCCAAGTCCATGGCCCAGTACCTGCAGGAGGGGAACAGGATCAAGGTTGGCAAATGTTCTATTCTATCTGTCCCACATTTAAAGAGGGTGTACACACACACAGACACACACACACACACACACACACACACACACACACACACACACACACAAAACAGCCATTCCTGACAATTCCTCAGGGGGATGGGTACAGTCATTAATCTTGTCATGGAAATATTTATCATGCAAATATTTATCTGTGCGGTCCCGTGGTGTTTCATTTTACACTCTCTTTCCTCACTGCAAAAATGTGGCAATGAACACTTCCTCATTCTACATGCATGTGTCTCTTGTCATAAACACATGCGCACTCACACACACACACACACACACTCCCAGCAATAACCGTCCAGCCTCCCTCCACTCCCACACAAGTATTTCGCTTCTCTTTTTTTTCCTGAAGGTTTTTTCCTTTTAGTAAATGAAAGTTCAGATGATGATAAGGATATACCTAGTTGGACTCTTATCTTGGCAACAGTTTAGAAACAGGCCCAGTAAAATTCAGACTGGAGTCTCTACTGCAGATTAACTAAGGCTGCTGAAATTGAGCACAATTATAATATAATTGAGAAAATATTCACTAATACATTTGAGGATTTTACAAGCTGTGCACATTTTAGTGAGTCATAACTCTTAGGCATCCAGCTATTGTGAAAGAAATGTATTTCTCAATAAGTAGAAGAGTACACTTGTTCCTTCCTTCCATCCTATCTGGTAATATAAGATTAGTGTATCTGCAATTGGGGCAGAATCTTAACTTGAGTCAGATCCACAAATCCACACACTTTAGACCCATAGAACTCAATTGGAGATTTGCACGAAAATTGCCTTACCCAAGTTAAGATTCAGCCCTTATTGAACTGAGTTGTCGTCGGGCCGAGAGGTTCACATGCCCCGGGTCACCATCTTGTCAACATACACTACAGGCCCCCATACAGTATCTGAACCATACACTACAGGCCCCCCATACAGTACCTGAACCATACACTACAGCCCCCCATACAGTACCTGAACCATACACTACAGGCCCCCATACAGTACCTGAACCATACACTACAGGCCCCCCATACAGTACCTGAACCATACACTACAGCCCCCCATACAGTACCTGAACCATACACTACAGCCCCCCATACAGTACCTGAACCATACACTACAGGCCCCCCATACAGTACCTGAACCATACACTACAGCACCCCATACAGTACCTGAACCATACACTACAGCCCCCCATACAGTACCTGAACCATACACTACAGGCCCCCATACAGTACCTGAACCATACACTACAGCCCCCCATACAGTACCTGAACCATACACTACAGGCCCCCATACAGTACCTGAACCATACACTACAGGCCCCCATACAGTACCTGAACCATACACTACATGCCCCCATACAGTACCTGAACCATACACTACAGCCCCCCATACAGTACAGGCCCCCATACAGTACCTGAACCATACACTACAGGCCCCCCATACAGTACCTGAACCATACACTACAGCCCCCCATACAGTACCTGAACCATACACTACAGCCCCCCATACAGTACCTGAACCATACACTACAGCCCCCCATACAGTACAGGCCCCCATACAGTACCTGAACCATACACTACAGGCCCCCATACAGTACCTGAACCATACACTACATCCCCCCATACAGTACCTGAACCATACACTACAGCCCCCCATACAGTACCTGAACCATACACTACAGCCCCCCATACAGTACCTGAACCATACACTACAGCCCCCATACAGTACCTGAAACATACACTACAGGCCCCCATACAGTACCTGAACCATACACTACAGGCCCCCCATACAGTACCTGAACCATACACTACAGCCCCCCATACAGTACCTGAACATACACACAAGCCCCCCATACAGTACCTGAACCATACACTACAGGCCCCCATACAGTACCTGAACCATACACTACAGGCCCCCATACAGTACCTGAACCATACACTACACCCCCATACACTACAGCCCCCATACAGTACCTGAACCATACACTACAGCCCCCCATACAGTACACCCTCCAGCATACAGTACCTGAACCATACACTACAGGCCCCCCATACAGTACCTGAACCATACACTACAGCCCCCCATACAGTACCTGAACCATACACTACAGGCCCCCATACAGTACCTGAACCATACACTACAGGCCCCCATACAGTACCTGAACCATACACTACAGCCCCCCATACAGTACCTGAACCATACACTATAGCCCCCCATACAGTACCTGAACCATACACTACAGGCCCCCATACAGTACCTGAACCATACACTACAGCCCCCCATACAGTACCTGAACCATACACTACAGGCCCCCCATACAGTACCTGAACCATACACTACAGGCCCCCATACAGTACCTGAACCATACACTACAGCCCCCCATACAGTACCTGAACCATACACTACAGCCCCCCATACAGTACCTGAACCATACACTACAGGCCCCCATACAGTACCTGAACCATACACTACAGCCCCCCATACAGTACCTGAACCATACACTACAGCCCCCCATACAGTACCTGAACCATACACTACAGGCCCCCATACAGTACGTGAACCATACACTACAGGAGCAGTGGCTTCTTCATTCCTGAGCGGCCTTTCAGGTTATGTCGATATAGGACTCGTTTTACTGTGGATATATATACTTTTGTACCCATTTCCTCCAGCATCTTCACAAGGTCCTTTGCTGTTGTTCTGGGATTGATTTGCACTTTTCGCACCAAAGTACGTTCATCTCTAGGAGACAGAACGTGTCTCCTTCCTGAGCGGTATGACGACTGTGTGGTCTCATGGTGTTTATACTTGCATTCTATTGTTTGTACAGATGAACGTGTTACCTTCAGGTGTTTGTAAATTGCTCCCAAGGATGAACCAGACTTGTGGAGGTCTACAATTGTTTTTCTGAGGTCTTGGCTGATTTCTTTTGATTTTCTCATGATGTCAAGCGAAGAGGCACTGAGTTTGAAGGTAGGCCTTGAAATACATCCACAGGTACACCTCCAAATGACTCAAATGATGTCAATTAGCCTATCAGAAGCTTCTAAAGCCATGACATCATTTTCTAGAATTTTCCAAGCTGTTTAAAGGCACAGTCAACTTGGTATATGTAAACTTCTGACCCACTGGAATTGTGATACAGTGAATTATAAGTGAAATAATCTGTCTGTAAACAATTGTTGGAAAAATTACTTGTGTCATGCACAAAGTAGATGTCCTAACCGACTTGCCAAAACTATAGTTTGTTAACAAGAAATTTGTGGAGTGGTTGAAAAACAAGTTTTAATTACTCCAGCCTAAGTGTATGTAAACTTCCGACTTCAACTGTATATATATATATATATATATATATATATATATATATATATTATATAGGTACTGTGCAATAACAATAGCACTTCTGCTATTGTTGATCTAACATTCTTAATGCAACAGTTGACAGTAGATGCACGTTGACTGTGGGAAATGTGCTCTACACATGAAATAAGAGCGTGCTATAAGGGATCATGAATAGTAATAGTATAATAGTATAATAATAAAGGCTATAAAGCTGTGACTACCATAACATAACAGTACGACCCTGGCAGGTATAATAATAATCCTTTAGCATGTGGCCTCTAGCACTCCATTAACATGCCGACAGATTTGATCAACACTATATTATCAGCCTTAGCATATTTGACTAACAAATAAAAATCAACATGTATGTCCATTATATTATTAACCCTTCGATTGCCAGTGGCTCTACAATGTTTTGTCTTTGGGATTGAAAATAATCTCTACCTCAATTATTTTAATTTGTAGGATGAAAATAGATGATTTATTTATGGTCATCTTGAGTTCCAGTATGTGTGTTGTCTTAAGATGTGTTTTGTAATGCTAGAGTGGTTTGTTGACTGACAGGTCTTGACGGAGATGAAGTTTGACTTCTTGATGACTGTGTGCAACCACGAGCACAGCACTACATCCCGCTAACCTGCCCATGGCCATCGGCCGCACCAAGCTGCAGAGAGTGCAGGGTAAGGTGCTCCTAATCTCACGCCATGCTGCTCTGTTCTATCAACTACCTACCTGCATTTGCTCCATGCCAGTGCCACCATATAAATAAGAATGAATAGAAAGGGAGTCTCCATTCAAGTCAATGATGGCATAATGCGTGGATTGGCAGCCATTTTGAGTGTACCCATGCCAGGAAGTAAAATCAGGACGTGTACGCTTCAATCTGTGTTGTGTATTGTTGATTCAACTCAACTGACATTTACAAAAAATACATTCCATTGCATGAGCCACATCAGTTAGCATCATTTCAATGAACATTCTACATTACCATGGCAATCCTGCATCAGCTGATAGAACATTCCAAAATACCATGGAAATTATTGCATCACAATACCAGACAGCCATTGTGAGTGTACCCATGAGTTTACCAGCCAATTGCCAGGGTTAGAGCTTCCAAGTCCGTTCTATTCATTCTTATTTCTATGAGTGCCACACACAACCATCTATTACTGAAGTGCATAACTCGGGCCTTGTTCTGCATTGTATGCTGGTTTTCCTTTCTGTATGCTGGTCATTTAAAGGGAAACTTCACCACTTTTCAACCTCATATTCATCCTCATTTTGAAAAGCTTTGAAATTAACCTTTAATGTATCAATTAATGTAACTGATGGAAAAAACTACTTACAATACACGGACCCTTGAGGACCAAAGCTGTGCACCCCACTAATCTGCGTTATTGGTTTGGCCCACTCACCAGTTCACACACAAGTCTATTACAGAGCAGACCATGTGAAGTCTAGCAAAAGGGGCGTTGTTAAATTAATTCTATGGATGATATTTAGCCCACCACAGCCACAGTATGATTGCTAACAGCCATATTGCCTGCTTGGGCCAGTGCTTTGTTGTGGCCTGTCTGTCTGTCTGTCTGTTTGTCATTCCAACACTCTAGTCTTATTAATCCTGTCTGACTTGCGGTGTTGGAGCAGCATTACCAGTTCAGAGAGACACTGAGGGGAACTCAGAAAACAACTTGTTCTGCCTTTTTTTTATCAAAAGCTCAACACAAATTATTTGGTCAAACATTCTACACATTCTACAAACATAAATTACATATTCTACTGTAGTGGATTGACTTCTTAGGCCTAAACCTATGCAGAAAATGTACATCTCAAAACATATTATGCAATTACATTTATAAGGTGTTCATGCTCTCACAGGTTTTTCTCTGATTTCCCAGGTTAGAAGGTGGTGGTGTTTTGCATTGGAGAAAATGTTTGCTGAGTCAGTGTGTTCAACATGTGTCACGATGTCAGTGTATGCGGTAGACTGAAGTCAGGCGCAGGACACAGAACTCAATGAATAAACGAATCTTTACTAATACACGTAAAGAAACAAGAAGCCTCCACGCAGGGAGGAATAAACCCGCTCACCAACGACATCAGCGAACAAACAACAAACACGCACAGAACACAATGGGAGCCACAGGGTTAAATAGGGGCGGAGTAATCACAAGATGGGCAACAGGTGTGAAACAATCTGACACAACAGGTAGAAGAACATAGAAACATATAACATAGATCGGCAGCAGCTAGTACTCCGGTGACGACGAACGCCGAAACCTGCCCGAGCAAGGAGGAGGGGCAGCCTTGGCAGAATCCGTGACAACATGTGATGTTGTCGCATTTCTCCCTGTAATTTGTCAGCCACGTCATTCCATGAGTGAAACAACAGGATATGTACCATATCACTTGAATGCTACCAGTCAGTCCCATGTTAAAGAGATTGGTTGATTGAAATCATAGATGTACTCCTATACATTAAAGCAGGGTAGACTGCACCTGTTGCTAGTACCCATGTGTATTCCCTATGTAGTGCACTTCTTTTCACCAGAGCACCCTATTCCCTATATACAGTGAGGTCCAAAAGTATTGGGACAGTGACATATGTTTTGTTGTTTTGGCTCTGTACTCTAGCAGTTTGGATTTGAAATAATACAATGACTATGAGGATAAAGTGTGACTGTCAGCTTTAATTTGAAGGTATTTTCATCCATATCGGTTGAACCATTTACAGTGGGGAGAACAAGTATTTGATACACTGCTGATTTTGCAGGTTTTCCTACTTACAAAGCATGTAGAGGTCTGTAATTTTTATCATAGGAACACTTCAACTGTGAGAGACGGAATCTAAAACAAAAATCCAGAAAATCACATTGTATGATTTTTAAGTAATTAATTTGCATTTTACTGCATGACATAAGTATTTGATCACCTACCAACCAGTAAGAATTCCGGCTCTCACAGACCTGTTAGTTTTTCTTTAAGAAGCCCTCCTGTTCTCCACTCATTACCTGTATTAACTGCACCTGTTTGAACTCGTTACCTGTATAAAAGACACCTGTCCACACACTCAATCAAACAGACTCCAACCTCTCCACAATGGCCAAGACCAGAGAGCTGTGTAAGGACATCAGGGATAAAAATGTAGATCTGCACAAGGCTGGGATGGGCTACAGGACAATAGGCAAGCAGCTTGGTGAGAAGGCAACAACTGTTGGCTCAATTATTAGAAAATGGAAGAAGTTCAAGATGACGGTCAATCACCCTCGGTCTGGGGCTCCATGCAAGATCTCACCTCGTGGGGCATCAATGATCATGAGGAAGGTGAGGGATCAGCCCAGAACTACACAGCAGGACCTGGTCAATGACCTGAAGAGAGCTGGGACCACAGTTTCAAAGAAAACCATTAGTAACACACTACGCCGTCATGGATTAAAATCCTGCAGTGCACGCAAGGTCCCCCTGCTCAAGCCAGCGCATGTCCAGGCCCGTCTGAAGTTTGCCAATGACCATCTGGATGATCCAGAGGAGGAATGGGAGAAGGTCATGTGGTCTGATGAGACAAAAATATAGCTTTTTGGTCTAAACTCCACTCGCCGTGTTTGGAGGAAGAAGAGGGATGAGTACAACCCCAAGAACACCATCCCAACCGTGAAGCACGGAGGTGGAAACATCATTCTTTGTGGATGCTTTTCTGCAAAGGGGACAGGACGACTGCACCTTATTGAGGGGAGGATGGATGGGGCCATGTATCGCGAGATCTTGGCCAACAACCTCCTTCCCTCAGTAAGAGCATTGAAGTTGGGTCGTTGCTGGGTCTTCCAGCATGACAACGACCCAAAACACACAGCCAGGGCAACTAAGGAGTGGCTCCGTAAGAAGCATCTCAAGGTCCTGGAGTGGCCTTGCCAGTCTTCAGACCTGAACCGAATAGAAAATCTTTGGAGGGAGCTGAATAAGTTCTGCTTTTCTGATGTATCAAATACTTATGTCATGCAATAAAATGCTAATTAATTACTTAAAAATCATACAATGTGATTTTCTGGATTTTTGTTTTAGATTCCGTCTCTCACAGTTGAAGTGTACCTATGATAGAAATTACAGACCTCTACATGCTTTGTAAGTAGGAAAACCTGCAAAATCAGCAGTGTATCAAATACTTGTTCTCCCCACTGTAGAAATCACAGCTCTTTTTGTACATAGTTCCCCCATTTTAGGGGCCCAAAAGTGTGGGGACAAATTCACTTATATGTGTATTAAAGTCGTCAAAAGTGTAGTAGTTGGGCCCATATTCATATGACTCTGAGTCACAAGCTTGATTTAATCATTGGGTGCTATGAAGCTTGATGTAATCATTGCGTGCTATGAAGATTGATGTAATCATTGCATGCTATGAAGCTTGATGTAATCATTGCGTGCTATGAATATGGGACCATGTACTACACGTTTTACTACTTCAATAAACATATTTGTGAATTTGTCTCAATATTTTGGTCCCCTAAAATGGGGGGACTATGTACAAAATGTGTTGTAATTTCTAAACGGTTCACCCAATATGGATGAAAGTCTGCATAGTCATTGTATCATTTCAAATCCAAAGTGCTGGAGTACAGAGCCAAAACAACAAATGTGTCACTGTCCCAATATATTTGGAGCTCACTGTAGTGCACTGCTTTTGGCCAGGAAATAGGCTGTGATTAAGGACATGACCTAACCATGTTGACCATTAACCCCAGACCAGAGCCAGGCGTCTGCACTGACGGAGGAGTACTGTAAGAACCACTTCCTGGTGGGTCTGCTGCTGAGGGAAGTGGCCGAGGCCCTGCAGGGGTCACCAGAGGTCAGACAGCTGGCCGTGGCCATACTGAAGAACCTGCTTATCAAACACGCCATGGATGACCGTTACACCCAGTTCAAGGTGAGGAGGAGGGGAGATAGACAGACAGCTACACCCAGAACGAGGTGAGGAGGAGGGGGAGATAGACAGACAGCTACACCCAGAACGAGGTGAGGAGGAGGGGGAGATAGACAGACAGCTACACCCAGAACGAGGTGAGGAGGAGGGGGAGATAGACAGACAGCTACACCCAGAACGAGGTGAGGAGGAGGGGGAGATAGACAGACAGCTACACCCAGAACGAGGTGAGGAGGAGGGGGAGATAGACAGACAGCTACACCCAGAACGAGGTGAGGAGGAGGGGGAGATAGACAGACAGCTACACCCAGAACGAGGTGAGGAGGAGGGGGAGATAGACAGACAGCTACACCCAGAACGAGGTGAGGAGGAGGGGGAGATAGACAGACAGCTACACCCAGAACGAGGTGAGGAGGAGGGGGAGATAGACAGACAGCTACACCCAGAACGAGGTGAGGAGGAGGGGGAGATAGACAGACAGCTACCAACCTGTACGCATTTTGCTGTACGCAAAAATAGGCTTGTATTTGGCACATTGTGGTTTTTCACTCAACCGTCTGAAGTTGGAGCTGAGCCAATCAGACAACTTGGGCGAGGAGAAAACATCTCTAGCTCTCCGCTCCGGCCCACCCCCCTGTAGCTGGATGGCAGCTCTCGACTTCATCCATTGATACTACTGATGTGTGAAGAAAAAGGTTATGGAAAATGGAGAATGAACTGTTTGCCAAATAGATTTTCCAAAATTCTATGTGTTAGTCAAGCACATTGCTACTATTATTTTGTAGTTAGCTCCTTAGCTAAGGCGTCATTACAACGAAAGTAGTTAGCTACAGCGTTTAGTCAACTTAAAGGCTCTGCATGGTCAATCAGACGTCTGCATTGGCCATACAGCATTTACGGTGAACAGAGTGTCCACAAAGCCTCGGGAAAACGTCCCGAGTGTCTGTTGCTGTTGTAGAAAATACAGGATAGTAAATGAATAACTAGAGTAAGGAATGTTCACTGTCTCTCCTGACCCAAGATAAGAAAGTAGTCTGTTATGCAAATCCATACTGTATCAGCCTTGTAGATGCAAATAGTCACTGGCAGCCGAGCATTGTGTTGCGTGAAAGGCCAGCTTTCGAATAGTGTTTCTCTCATCATACAGTAGATACGTTTTGCTTGACATGGGCCGTGATAGTGTCACATGGTGCTGTTGGACAGTATGTTATGGGTAGTGCTGAGCGGTTAGTGCTTATTGAGGTCAGTTCGGTTTCGGTTAGATTATTTGGGTTGAATGCTGTAACAACACAGAATAAAACAATTAATAAAAGTCCCATGATGGTAGTGACTGTCCATTACTGCTTATCACTTATTAACCATTATTTATTCACATTTACTTTACTTTAATAACATATTTTTGTTGTTGTGTATATTACATTTGTTTTATTGATAACTTTATTATTTTATTCCAAGTCATCATCTCATCTCTATAGAGCTGATGCCTATGCTTTCTGACAAAAACACTATTTTGTAGTTCTTCCAAGTAAATAAGGCATACTTTTATGACTGCCGAATACCAACTATCAATCACTATCAGAAACTACAACTCCCTACTACATCGCACAGTTCATGTGTTAGTCAAGCACATTGCCACTAATGTTTTGTAGTTAGCTCCTTAGCTAAGGCGTCATTACGACGAAGGTAGTTAGCTACAGCGTTTAGTCAACTTAAAGGCTCTGCATGGTCAATCAGACGTCTGCATTGGCCATGCAGCATTTACGGTGATATGTCCTCTGCAGAAGGCATTGATACAGTTAATGACAACTCTAACTTGAGATTGTTAGAAAACCTTTAAAACCTGTAAAATTATAATAACTTAACTATTAACTTGATGTTACCCTATTCATCCCCCCTTCTGTATGTCAGAACCAGCAGGCCCGGATCTGTCTGCTGTACCTTCCACTGCTTGAGCTGCTCTACCAGAACCTCAAGCAGCTGTCTGCCCAGCAGCACACCTCCAGCCCTGGCCTGGGCCTCACTGTGAGTCCCCCTCTAACCTCCATCCCTGGAGGTCCTGACTTACTCTAGCTAGTCTCATGACATATCAGTCATATATTGACGTTTTGGGGTTTTAACTGAAAATTAGAAATTAGTTTTCAGATTATTTCCTGAATTTACAGAAATGAAATGGAATTGACCCCGACCCTATGGTTGTCCCTTGCTTTTCAGGGTTCCAGAGATTACTTGAGATCAACCAGCTCGATGGACAGCCGCAGGACCAGCATGGCCATCGATAAAGACCACGGTCAGTGGGACATATGTGACTGCTCAATGTGCTAACCACTCATCACTGTGTGTTTGCCTGTACAGTAGAGCAGGTGAGCAGATCCATTAGAACGCCATCATTTCCCATCAAAATGTTGCTCTGATGTTTTGGAACCGCCAGGATCAATAAAATAGATACTTTATTGTCCATTTGGTTAGAACAGAAATTCTCCTTATGCTTTTTTCCCCAAACCCACACACCACAGGAGGCTGGTGAGGGGAGGACGGGTGGAATGGAGTAAGTAAACGGAACAGTATGAAATACATGGAAACCATATGATCTCTTGAAACCGTCTGTTTGATACAATTCCATCCATCCCGTCCTCCCAAATTAAGGTGCCACACACATCAAGAGGCACAGGGACAACCACAGTGCAGCGCCTCTGGATAGATATTTTTTCTGTTAAGTGCCTTGCTCAAGGGCACAACGGTAGTGTTAGTAATGACACCAGATGCCAGTTCAATCCCCACTTCTTCTGTGTCGCCTGGCCTGGGACTTGAACCAGCAACCTTTCTAACCAGTCCACCTCTCTAACCTCTGGGCTACCTACTGCTACCTACCGCCCACAAAATGAATTTGAGAAGCTTTGTAAACATGTTTCATTGTTCTCCCCAGGCCCAGTAGCTCAGAATGGCCACCTGGTGAGGAGGGAGGACTCCAGAGGATCTCTGTTCATGGACCTTGGCACTCCAAACAGCTCTGAGGTAAAAGACAGAGGGAGGGTGGTGGATTGGTCCATACAAATAAAACGGAGACAGTGTGTGCATCCTAAATGGCACCCTATTCCCTATATAGTGCACTACTGACCCATAGGGTAGTGCACTATAAATAGACTAGGATGCCATTTGGGACACAACTAGAGAGAATACCATGGGTCATGTTCGGTAGGGAACATTGTAGCAATAGTCAAATATTGAATAGGATGTTTCACATCCTGTTCAATTTAAAAAGAAACATGGTTCTTATACCACTCACTCTGTGGTGAGACAGACAGACAGACAGACAGACAGACAGACAGACAGACAGACGCCTCTTCTCATCTGTTGTTTTTCCAGTCACATATTGACACTTTGTTCTTTCTCCAACACATGCAGGCCGTTAAAATGTTAAGTGCCTTGTCGGTTCACATAGTTAAAAAGACACTATCCAGTCTCTTGACTCTCTGCCAGTGGTATAGAAACCACATGTTGGCTGGAGATCAGATGAGGAAAGACAGACATTTAATAAGACAAGAGCAGATGTCAATCATCGTGTAATTGTCTGGGTATTGTTGCCTGTTGGCATGCTAGGTGTCTCAGTGTATGTCTCTCTCCTGTTGTGTCTCTGTCTCTAGACATCCTGCTGGCCTACTGGAACAAGGTCAACCCTCAGGACATCATCAACTTCCTCAGTTTACTGGAGTGAGTACACACACCCTCTGGGTGGATGCAGGATCACAATAGAATAGAATAGGTATAGGTTCGTAAGTTCACTCTGGAGTTCCAGATTGTGCTCAGAGCGTGCTCTCGTCGTTCGTAAATTCAGTGCGTTTCGATCTCGGAGCGTTCAGAGCGCACACTGGACGCTCTGGCTGAGGAGTAGGGTTGATCCGAGCGTTCTGACCTCACAACGGCAGTCAAGCACCCAAGCTGACTGGCTAAAGTTGGCTAGCTTGCTAGCTACTTCCAGACACAAATGAGAGAACACCTCACTCTGACCATTTTACTCCCCCCTAGCAGAGCTGGTTAGGCTGTTTTCATGTTGTCTAGAGCGTTGATGACTGTAACTGCGTTATGTCAACCATTTCATTCAGTTTTTTAGCCGATGTTTACTTACACCTGTCATAACAACCAAGTTTTTGTGACAAGTTAATGGCGTTCGTAAATTCCTTAAATATTCTGCTCTGAAATCGGAGTAGATAGCCAGAGTGAATTTACGAATGCACCCTTAGTCTACTGGAGTGAGTACAGCACAGGAGGTTGGTGGTACCTTAATTGGGGAGGACGGGCTCGTGGTAATGGCTGGAGCGGAATAAGTGGAGTGGTATCAAATACATCAAACACATGGTTTGATGCCATTCCATTTGCCCCGTTCCAGCCATTATTATGAGCCATCCCCTCCTCAGCAGCCTCCACTGGAGTACAGAGAACATCTGTGTGGATGCAAAACTAGAAAATAATAGGTTATCCTCTCCTGTGTGGATGCATGATTAAAGTCAGTACTTTTTCCTGATCACACACCCTGAGCTGTAGTTACAGTGAATCCCTAAAACTAGTTGTCAATTGTCACATTAAGAAATGTGTGTTTGTGCACAGGCAGTCATTTGTCAACAAAGACATTGTTATTAATGGCAAGTTTGATAGAATTACAGCCTTAGAACGTATTTGTACCTATGAGGAACCGAACCCTCTGAACTTAAAATGCTCTGTTTGGTTGATGATTAACACTTTATAGCTGAAGGTTTTCGTACAGTAGGCTAACCTATCACTGTCACTTATCAAGTGATTTATATTGTTGTCCTATTTGCACACCACTAAGTCAACTATGTAATGAACAAGACTATTAACAATAACATTATTAAATGTCTTTCAGAACGTGCCTGGTGCAGTTCCGCTATGTTGGAAAGAGGAACATTGGGAGGTAGGATGATGTTTGGATTCTGTACAGCACAAATAGGTAGGGCTACTAATTCTGTCCTAAACAGGTACATGGTACATGTGTCTCTGTGTGTATTTGTAGGAGTCAGCAAGCTTGGATGTCCAAGCTAAGGTTCCTCGCGAGTCCAATTAATTATATAATAATCATTGTCCCCCACCCATCTTTAGACTTGGTTGTCAAAGCTTGTTATTCCTTTTTATTTTTTGTTCCTTGTTCCTTGCTAATAAATGATGTAATTGTCATTGTTTATGCACCTACTCTTATCTTTAGGTATGTGTCTGAGTCTGGTTTATCAAGTTTCAAGCTTTAATGTCACGCGCACAAGTACAGTGGCTTATCAAGTTTCAAGTTTTAATGTCACGTGCACAAGTACAGTGAAATGCCTTTCTTGCTAGCTCCAAACCTAACAATGCAATAATTCAATATCAATGTAGCCCTAAAAATAACAAAGTACAACAAAAACACACAAACAATAAGAAATAAGAACAGCACGAGAACGTAAGAAGATACAGTTCCTTCAGAAAGTATTCACACCCCTTGACTTACAGCCTGAATTTAAAATGGATTAAATTTAGATTTATTTTCACTGGCCTACACACAATACCCCATAATGTCAAAGTGTAATTATGTTTTTCAAAGTTGTAACTTTTCATTAATGAAAAGCTGAAATGTCTTGAGTCAATAAGTATTCAACCCCTTTGTTCAGGAGTACAAATGTGCTTAACAAGTCACATAATAAGTTGCATGGACTCACTCTGTGTGCAATAATAGTGTTTAACATGATTTTTGAATGACTACATCATCTCTGTACCCCACACATACAATTATCTGTAAGGTCCCACAGATTCAACCACAAAGACCAGAGAGGTTTTCCAATTCTTCACAAAGAAGGTCACCTATTGGAAGATATAAAAAAAGCAGACATTAAATATCCCTTTGAGCATGGTGAAGTTATTAAATACACTTTGGATGGTGTGTCAATACACCCAGTCACTACAAAGATACAGCCGTCCTTCCTAACTCAGATCCCGTCATTCGCATGAAGAAAAGACAGAGATATAGGGGGCGCAGATCTGGGTGCCTTGTGAGAATTCGTCAACGATTAGATAACCCGCCTCAACCATTCGTTCTATTGGCCAACATGCAATCACTGGAGAATAAACTGGATGAGGTCCATTCAAGACAATAACAGCTGGTGCGCGATGTCTAATATTAAAGAAGTCTCGAGGTATTGCTCGCCTGAGGTAGAGTACCTCATGATAAGCTGTAGACCACACTATCTACCAAGATTCAATGTCTAAAGCTAACTCTCTCTCCTCTGCTCTCGTCCTTCTAGACCTATCTGCTGCCTTTGATACTGTGAACCATCAGATCCTCCTCTCCACCCTCTCCGAGTTGGGCATCTCCGGCGCGGCTCACTCTTGGATTGCGTCCTACCTGACAGGTCGCTCCTACCAGGTGGCGTGGCGAGAATCTGTCTCCGCACCACGTGCTCTCACCACTGGTGTCCCCCAGGGCTCAGTTCTAGGCCCTCTCCTATTCTCGCTATACACCAAGTCACTTGGCTCTGTCATATCCTCACATGGCCTCTCCTATCATTGCTACGCAGACAACACACAATTAATCTTCTCCTTTCCCCCTTCTGATAACCAGGTGGCGAATCGCATCTCTGCATGTCTGGCAGACATATCACTGTGGATGACGGATCACCACCTCAAGCTGAACCTCGGCAAGACGGAGCTGCTCTTCCTCCCGGATAAGGACTGCCCGTTCCATGATCTCGCCATCACGGTTGACAACTCCGTTGTGTCCTCCTCCCAGAGTGCAAAGAGCCTTGGCGTGACCCTGGACAACACCCTGTCGTTCTCCGCTAACATCAAGGCGGTGACCCGATCCTGTAGGTTCATGCTCTACAACATTCGCAGAGTACGACCCTGCCTTACATAGGAAGCGGCACAGGTCCTAATCCAGGCACTTGTCATCTCCCGTCTGGATTACTGCAACTCGCTGTTGGCTGGGCTCCCTGCCTGTGCCATTAAACCCCTACAACTCATCCAGAACGCCGCAGCCCGTCTGGTGTTCAACCTTCCCAAGTTCTCTCACGTCACCCCGCTCCTCCGCACACTCCACTGGCTTCCAGTTGAAGCTTGCATCTGCTATAAGACCATGGTGCTTGCCTACGGAGCTGTGAGGGGAACGGCACCTCCGTACCTTCAGGCTCTGATCAGTCCCTACACTCGAAAGAGGACATTGCGTTTATCCACCTCTGGCCTGCTGGCCCCCCTACCTCTGCGGAAGCACAGTTCCCGCTCAGCCCAGTCAAAACTGTTCGCTGCTCTGGCACCCCAATGGTGGAACAAGCTCCCTCACAACGCCAGGACAGCGGAGTCACTCACCACCTTCCGGAGACACTTGAAACCCCACCTCTTTAAGGAATACCTGGGATAGGATAAAGTAATCCTTCTACCCCCCCTTACCCCACCCCCAAAAAATAATATATATATATATATATTGTAAAGTGGTTGTCCCACTGGCTATCATAAGGTGAATGCACCAATTTGTAAGTCGCTCTGGATAAGAGCGTCTGCTAAATGACGAAAATGTAAATGTAAATGTAAAAGACAGTTTTCATCTATATTTTTCGTGGCCGTCTATTTACCATCACAAACCGATGCTGGCACTAAGACCGCACTCAACGAGCTGTATAAGGCCATAAGCAAACAAGAAAATGCTCATCCAGAAGCGGCGCTCCTAGTGGCCGGGGACGTTAATGCAGGAAAACGTACATCCGTTTTACCTCATTTCTACCAGCATGTCACGTGCAACCAGAGGAAAAAAAACTCTAGACCACCTTTACTCCACACACAGAGATGCATACAAAGCTCTCCCTCGCCCTCCATTTGGCAAATCTGACCATAATTCTATCTCTCCTGATTCCTGCTTACAAGCAAAAACTAAAGCAGGAAGTACCAGTGACTCGCTCAATACGGAAGTGGTCAGATGACGCGGATACTACGCTACAGGACTGTTTTTCTAGCACAGACTGGAATATGTTCCGTGATTCATCCAATGGCATTGAGGAGTATACCACCTCAGTCGCCGGCTTCATCAATAAGTGCATCGACGACGTCGTCCCCACAGTGACCGTACGTACATATCCCAACCAGAAGCCATGGATTACAGGCAACATCCTCACCGAGCTAAAGGCTAGAGCTGCCGCTTTCAAGGAGCGGGACACTAATCCATACGCTTATAAGAAATCCCGCTATGCCCTCAGACGAACCATCAAAGAGGCAAAGCGTCAATACAGGACTAAGATTGAATCCTGTACACTGGGTGTATCCTACACTGGCTCTGACGCTCGTCGGATGTGGCAGGGCTTGCAAACTATTATGGACAAAGGGAAACCCAGCCGCGAACTTCCCAGTGATGCGAGCCTACCAGACGGGCTAAATGACTTTCATGCTTGCTTCGAGGCAAGCAACACTGAAGCATGCATGAGAGCACAAGCTGTTCCGGACGACTGTGTAATCACGCTCTCCGTAGCCGATGTGAGCAAGACCTTTAAACAGGTCAACATTCACAAGGCCGCAGGGCTAGAGCGATTACCAGGACGTGTACTCAGAGCATGCGCTGACCAGCTGGCAAGTGTCTTTAATGACATTTTCAACCTCTCCCTGACCGAGTCTGTAATATCTACATGTTTCAAACAGACCACCATAGTCCCTGTGCCCAAGAAAGCGAAGGTAACCTGCCTAAATTACTAC